TCTGTGATGAAAATGATTGGACGGTTGAGATTAACTGTGGGAATTACAGAGACTTGCTGGGCTTTTTTTTTGTTTGTGTTCTTCAGAGAGGGCCGATTGAGAAAAATCACGAGAGTACTTTATAATCTGAGCTTCACACGTGTGAATGCTCAAACGCGTGCGAAAAGTAATCCGTGTATTTTGACTATTCTCCCTCTTTTTCTCTCTTTTTTCTTCTACTAGACTTGTATTTATTTCATTTTTACAGTGTGGATAACTGGATATAAAACCGTAATTTTTGTTGAAACAAATTTTAATTACAGGTTAAGTGTTGAAAAATGAAAAAATTTACCCTGTAATTAAAACAAATTAATTCATTTTTTTTTGTAATTATGTTGGTGGTTTTTATATGTAGTAGAGTCACTAAAAAATTGTGTATCTCGTGTAAGCTTCTAGTGGTTTATAAAAAGAGTAAATTTAATTAGTAGTTGTAGAGTCAAGATTCTTTGTATTAAAAAAGAATACAAAGATTAATATTTTTCTTTGTATATAGCTAATAATGTTTTCAAACGGATTCTTTCATTTTCATGATCCATACAGATGTCAATATCTCATAATATTCAAGATTCAAAGGATGTGTTTTGATATCATGTCAAATATGGGTCAGGGTCATATATACCTTTTGGGATTAACGAAGAATTATACTATTCTCGTGTCACATTTTCGTGTCTAATCACGTACGCCATGCAAAGATCCAATAACACTAGATTACATAAGACCTCGTCTTTGGATTAGCATAATTAAACTAAGACCCTGTCTCTAATAAAAATAGTTTAATGAATTGATGAGTTTCTTAATCTCCTACAGTTTCTTTGGGACTAACTCAAAGATAATTTTTAAAGCAATTAGATAGATTACAAATCTCACAAGAAACAGTAATACAATAGAGAAGTTACTTAAGGCGACTATTCACTGATCACAAATGTCGCATAAACGAGAGAGATGAACACAAAAGAGAGAACAAAAAAACACTTTTATTCATTTCTTTGAAGAAACAGTTGATGAAGAATCTGGCTCTTTCCAAGCTGCTTGCCATTGCTTGTCGTATAACGTTGTCTCATCGAACAGATTCTTGAGTTTGTCTAAATCTTCGTTCTTGCGGATGAAAAGAACTCCAGCTACAGCCACGAACAAGAGTGTTTTGCAGAAGAAATTCCCCATTTGATCGACAAGTCCTACACCGGTAAGACTATCAACAAAGTAAGCCATGAAGAACCCTATCATCGCAGCACGACCTGCAAACACAAACCCACCAAGAAATACACACAACAAATCACTTCATGTTTTAGTAAGTCATATACTCGATTTCGATCTTGAGTTTAGAGATTAGTGTTTTTGGAAATTACCATTGAGAAGTTCGGCTTCTGGTAGATGGTATCTCTTCATCCATGCCCACCATGGAATAATCGAGGTATCGAAGAGTACAGGCTCGTCGTTGGTAGTTGTTTCCGGGTTATCTTCAAGCCATTTTCTCCTCTTTGCCTCTACAAATACATAAATCATCACATTAAAACACACACAATAGTAGTCACTCATCTTCTTATAACTATTAGAAACCAAAGCAAGAGCTTCAGAGACTTCTATATATCCTAGAATCATGACATTTTGTAAGTTGATTAGAGTTTCTAAACTTTAAAATCATTATTTGTTCACTCCAAATTCAACAACTACATTATCATGTCTTTAGTCACTCCAAATTCAAAGATTTGACAATTGATTCAGATTCCTAAATCAGCATTGAGTCATTCCAAATTCAACAATTTCCCAAGTTTTACAAGCACTAACCAAAAGGAATTTTGATTGAATTATTTTAGTTTCTAAAACATTATCTATCACTTGAAACAACACAATGACTATATAAATGGTAACAAGAGTGAAGAATTGAAAACGAAATTGGAGTTTAAAGGATCTAACCAGCAACGATTACAGAATCCCAATCTGTTTTCCCATCTTTCTCGAACTTTTTCAGATCCCAAGTTCCATTAACCCACTTCGCATCCTCGAATTTGATAGCCGTCGCAGTAGTAGTCGAATCGGACTTTTCACCTTTAACGATGCCGTTTTCAGAGGCGGAGGAGCTTTCCGCCGGAGATTTAACCGGAACCTCCTCTACAGGCTTTGGAATCTCGACGGTGGTTGCAGAGACTGAAGCAGTCACGGGTGAAGTCGTACCGTTGTCGGAGGAAGATCGAGTGACGGAGACGAGAGAGAAACGCTTGGTGGAGAGGAGAGAGAATGAGATCTTGGGAATAAGATTAGGGTTCTGAAGGGAAGATGAGATCGGTGGCGAGAATAACGCCATGGATATGGACATTGTTG